CTTCAATGGGAAAGTAAGTCAAGGCTCGTGAGACGTGGACCTTCATGAATTTCTTGCATTTTTTCTGCGGATTAAAAAGAACTACCCAAAACATAAACAAATTATAAATCTGTCGAACTACTTTCATGCCATAGTAAATAGCTCAAGCGGTTAGTCGCTGGCTTTCCACCGTAGCCGCCCGGGTTCGATCCCGGGTCCTTCGGTTTCCCCTGCCAATCTTCATTCCACCAATTGCTCCACAATCACCCCACCTATCATCTCGGGCTGGTACAATAGGCCAGAAGCGGCCACAGTACAAGGGAGTTAGTCCCACCCCACTAGCAATAAAGAAAAGTTATAAATTCATCAAACTACTTTATATGTACGGGAGCCAGGCTGGTGCATTCGGTATAGCGACTGGCTACGGGCTGGACAACCGAGGGGGTTCAGATTTCGAATCCTTGTAGAAGCAAAAATTTTCTGTTCTTCATGTTGTCCAGCCCGGTTCTGGGGCACAACCAACCTACTATCCAAAGGGTACCATTGACTCTTTTCCCTGGGGTAAAGCGGCCGGGGCGAGAAGCTGACCACTAACCTCCATTTAGTGTCGAGGTCAAGAAAATATGGATTTATACATCCATTTCCCCATACGCCTTCATGGTGTAGTGCTTAATTACTTAAACACAAGGACAACTTCGCCTCTTGGTTTATATGTACTGAGAGTTTAAATGTTGGTGCAATCCGTCCCCCCCACCCCTTACTAATGGGCCGTTTCTGGTTTACCATTATTATTCAGTGACCAGATGGTTAGTGTTCTGAAACACCCTTCCACTTGGGCTTCTCAGGTACACAGAAGATAGGGCGAAATTGGGGGGCGGGATGATAATAATTTTAAGGTTTCCACAAAAATTAATGTCAATGTATTCAAAATTGACGAAATATAGGAACTTCAGCTGCAATGGAAAACTGGCCGTTGTTTCCTCCTTTCTTATTTTTCATTTTTAACAACTTTTTGACTTTTAGGAGGCAGGTTGCCTGTACGGTGTCGTATTGTGTAAGATTACTACCAGAAGTACAAATATTATGTTTCTGGACCTTATCGACAGCCATGTTTATATTTCAAAACACAGTGTTTCGTAGACTGTATTCTGTCTCCGTATTCAGGTAAAATCTACTCAGCTGGGCCCAGTCGTTGAAGTTAGTACTATCTCCGGAAACCTGTACCGGCACCAAGACAGGGTATACAAACCAAGCACAGCACGAACTGTCTCCGAGAGCTAAGACAAAACATTAACTCTGCACCTATGAGGCCTTGGACCAGAGAACTATCAAGATAAAAATAATCACTGGAGAGATGAAATTCTCCGTATGGTGCCAACACAAGAGAAACCAATTTTCCCACTCAATCTACACTAGACGGAGTTGTAGTTTTTACTTCTGCTGTGATAATGGGAGCCCAAATAGGAGATATGTCCAAGCTGGATTGACTGATGTCTATTAGACACATGTGGGCGGATTCCTGATATTTCGTGTATGTGGTGCTTGGTTCAATCTGCAAGACCGTTTCTTCATTCCAACATATTTTATGGCCTTCTCGTATGCATGTTGTTGTTGTTGTTGTTATTGGAGACGGTGGGTTTCTCCATGCACTTAGACCAGATATTGGTCCATTGTACGTCCCCCTGTGATATTCTACCAGTCTCTATTCCCTACCGGTACTGGTGCGTGCCATCAGTCCCGACTCAGCCATCGACTTCGGCCTCTACTGGCTCAGCGGTATCTCGATGCTTCCCCCATCTACCAGAGGCGTCGTATGCAAGTTAGTATACTTTTGATTTTTCAAGGAGACACTGTGTCAGGTTATATTTGGGCCCCTTAATGCGTACTTCAAAGGTGAGCTTGTTTCACCGATGTAATATCTGCCGCAGTCGCATAGGATGCTATACACAACTGCTTCGTCTGCTGGGCATCTCTGACCGGTCTAGTTTTCATCGTTGTCCCATGGAGTATATGATTAGTCTTGAAAATGGTTCTGAGATTGAAACGGTTCCCGATGCGTCTGAATTTCTCGAAGTTCCCTTAACATTTGGGATGATGACAGTGCCCTGGTATATTGTGTCTGATGAAGGATGATTTCTTGGCGATGGAATTATTTCGGAGTCAACTAATTCTTTTGGATATTCATTGGGCATCAGATCATGTCTTATGTTTTTAATTTCGTTGTTGAAGTGACACGAAAGTGTGTCATTAGTTTCGACTTCCATTGTGGATTTCATGTTAAGCCTAAAGCTGTTGAGTTGGCGAAGAAATTGCTGTAACCTTGCTGGTCCATGTGGCCATACCACGGATATGTCATCAACGTATCTGAACCATTTAACGGGTTTGTGGTCTGCCGGATGCAGTGCTGGGACGAGGGCACACCAAGGAAACTGACAACCGCAACGCAACCGCAATTTCCGAGAATTGTTATCAACATGAGTTGAACACACGTTACTGAATGTAGCAGCACAAACTGAGGAAACGGCGGTTGCGTTGCGGTTGCCAGTTTCTTTGGTGTACCCTCACCCCTATTTCCTCAAAGTGTTCTTCTTTGCTACCAAAAGAAAAGTCCTCTCTATATGTGTGAATGTATCTATCTATCTTTGTTCCTGTTGCTTTGATTTGGAACATAGGGCTTCCGTCAAACGTTTCGTTTCACTTCAGTTTCTTAATCTTAGACAGTCAGAAGGTCTCCTTGGAAGGGGGATTAGCTCGTCGCAAGTCTGCTACGTACACAAGACAACACAAACTAATTTCCTTTGTTTGTTTTTATTCTAGGCTCCAGATATTGAAGCTGTATCTGCAGTTGTTGAAAACTTTCGAGCCAAGAAAATATTTAATATTACTTTTGCTTCGATCAGATTGAAAATAAAATACTTTGTTTATTATTTTTCAATTCTGTATACCCATCACTTACAAATGAAAGAAAATGTTCAAGGAAATTCAAAGTAAGATCATTCGTTTTCTCGTGCCGCCGTAACATTCAATTTGCTCTCAAAAACTGTGTACCGCCCCCCTCAAAGTTTTGCCTTCGTATATGGTATACCGTCTGCTTTTCTGACTATAGCAGCACCGAGATCAGCTAGCCATAAATAAAACCGCAATGACGTAGTTACAAAAGTGTGCCGCGTAAAGAAGTTTCCTTTAATTCTGTATTGAAAACAAAAGTATGGGAGATCTGAGGTTCTCACGGCGGTGACTGAAGAGTGTTATCGTCTGGGATCTGACGTCGTGTACTCTGGTAGTTCACTGGTGTTTCGCAGGAAAGCGCTTCCCTCTTCAGAGTGCTTACTAATTGCTTATTAGCTTACTCGGTTTGGTCTTCAACCCGAAATGTCAGTTAACTTCTACCAAACTACTGGAAGTCAAATCCCAGATGATCGTAGTACTATTCCATCGAGTTAAACAGCTTCGAATCCGAGGGGTTAGGGCGAACCGTTGCACCTAAGATATGATTGTGTACATTGTATACATGTATATTGCATTTTGTTGTTTTAAATACTACTCGTGCTTTCTCTTCCGTCTATAATGCAACACACTTTTTATTTAGATGACACCAAATTTACATTCAACTTACTGCCTTATCAGGTAAAATGTTCTTCAAAAATCATTAAAATATATTATACAGGGTGTTCCTAAAAGAATGGTGGGGTTTCAGATACGTATATATTTTGTATTTCTTACCGTGTACAATCATAACATGTGTCAATCGGAAGCTTAACTGTCCAAATTTTATGTACATCCATCAAAGTGCCTCTATGTGCGCACCTTTCGTTACCCGGCACACATCAATGCGATAGTCGAATTCCTGCCACACCCGCTGCAGCATTTCAGGTGTGATGGTCTCCACAGCACGATTGATTCTGTTTCGGAGATCCTGGAGCGATTGGGGCAATGGGGGACATAAACCATGTCCTTCACATACCCCCACAAGAAGAAATCACATGGAGTTATGTCCGGGGATCGGGGTGGCCACCGGAGAAGGGGGGCATCTTCACCTGCAGCACGTCCAATCCATCGTTGCGGAAGGACCAGATTAAGCAAACCTCTCACAATGCTATGGAAATGTGGGGAACACCGTCCTGTTGGAAAATGTAGTCATTGGAATCATTGGCCAGCTGTAATGATTTTCTTGGGCTTCTCTGATACGTCTCCCTCACTCTTTCCACGTCTGCATGTGGCACACGTGGTCGCCCAGAACTCTTGCCTTTACAGAGACATCCACTGTCCACAAACTGCCGGTACCATCTGCGAATGTTGTTTTCATGTGGCACCTCCTTCTGAAAACGTACACGAAATTCACGGCGCACTGTAACGATGGATTTAGACACCTCAGATCTCAGCACGCAATAGGCCTTCTCCTGCTGGGTCGCCATCTTACATTTTACGCCTCCTAACTGTCTGAAATGGAACTAGGAAAGAGCGTGATATACAAAATGAAAATTTGAGAGCCGCGTTATGAGTCCGTATACGTTTTGCTATTCATCACCAAAAACTGACGGAGATATACGGCAATGAAACCCCACCATTCTTTTAGGAACACCCGGTATGTCTGGCTACATGTTTCGGTCTCTCAGGTCTACTAAGAATAATGACTATTTGCTTCAACGAGTACTATTGATACGGGTGAACACGGTGCCGCAAGCTCCATCAAAATACGTTGCATGGTGATGACGATGATGACGGCATTTCGCCCGATGTAAACATGGGGAACATCAGCATGAGCACGCAATTCCGAAATCATGTTTGCATTTGTATGACATCTGGCGGCAATAGCTATATTTAGTGCGGTAGAATACACTGCTACAACAACTACTGAAAATAGTGCATATATATATTAATGGTATATGAATTAAATACGTATTTACACGAAGAAGTAACATGCTAGTGATCCAACCAGTGAAGGATACTAACATAAATACTTATATAGTTCCTTAACTGTTGCCATTTTTACAGTAGTAGGAGTGCTGTTTCGTTGGTAGTATTTTAATGGCGAGCGAACTACTTTCAAATGCGTCAGTGCGTCAGTGTATATTGTGCCCAGCCCTTCGGAGGATAAATTGTGATTGCTTTTTTTTGTGTTTACATGGATATTCTGGCAGTTTTGTAAGGTAGTAATCATTTGGTTTTTTTCGTATTCATAAGTTTAAAAATGTTGGCAGCTGTTTATTAAGACATTTGATCACTTAAAGCAAAACATGGTATGTTTGCTTTGACAAGTTTACCTTGAGATAACCTATTACAACGTTTGATGTGAATTTAATTTCTTGCGTAAAATCCAATGCATGAGAAATGCGTACAGCATTATATATGAAACCTGAAGAGGGAACTTTCACTGAAAGTGACAGTAACGGCATGTTTGCGTGTTCATCAAAAGCGAGTTTTTAAGTTTCGATTTTCAGTGAAGTTTGTCTCGAATTATGTAATTGTAATTAATTGTATCATAATGACAGTAATATAAATCTAGGAATGTAGGCATGTGATTTCGGAACGAAGCGCTTCACTACGTTGATAGCACAAGCGCCGATTTCGGCCCCATCCATTTCTTTGTCCTATGTTTTGTGAGAAGCTGCCATCGGCATTTCAGAAGTAAGCGTTGTGATGGGTGTGACTTGCATGTGAATTCTTTTACAGTGACTGTTATAGTGATTTTGAATATGTGAATCAGAAATGGAATTCGAAAGTTTCTTCTTGTGAGATTGTCAGAGTAATGATAGGTTGAGTTTATGATAAGCAGTTTGAATTCAGATCAGCTAGAATGTAATTTAGGATTGTAACTTTAATACAATTATTGTGTTTCTGGACATCCATCACCCTTTTTTTTATTTAAAACGTTTCGGAGACGATTCTGTCTCCATCTTCAAGTGGAACATACTCAGTTGGGCCCAGTTGATAGAGCTAGTCCCTGTCACCAGGCCTCAGCAAAAAATGTGTTTTATAAGAACAGAGAAACCATAATATTCAAGTTAGCATAGGGTTGTGTTTGGAGTTAAAATGAGAGGGCTGTAATGAAGTGAGAACAGTATCTACATACCCTTATATTTTTCACTTGTGTTCACTATAATTTACTGTAAAATATGTCTTGTTCGTCTATCACCTAACATGTTTCATTGCCATTGGTTTAGATATCATCAGGTGTTAGGTACATATAACAATTTATTTCTTGGAGTAGAATGTAACATCAGTTACATAATTTGAAATGATATTACCAATACATGTTATTCGGGAGTGCTGAAGTAGGTGTTTGGCCCATGCAGGCATAACAAATGCATATGCACATTGGCTCCCCTCTCTCTCTCTCTTGTGTGTGCACATGTGCTTGAGCATGCATGAGGGAGTGTGCCCCCTGCCCCCATTATCATTTTGTTTGCAATATGCATATGTTTTTTTGAGTCATTGCTATAATTTACTTTCTCTAAGTACACAGTTTTACGTATACCCCAAACTAGATCATAATTAATTGCATGGGTGCCCCAATTTCATGTTTATTGTAGGACACTGTAATGAGAAATTTGAAGAATCTGCACATTCTGAAATTCTGAACACTAATGTCTATAGAACAAATTCTGTTTGTATAACCAAACAGAATTTGTTCTATAGACATTAGTGTTCAGAATTTTTTGTCATATATATGCAAGGGTGTTGAGGAGAATATTTGGACCAAAGAGGGATGAAGTGATGGGAGATTTCAGAAAACTGCATAAAGAGGGGATACGTAACTTATACTCTTGACCAATTATAATTAGAATGATCAGGTCAAGGAGGATGCATTGGGCAGGGCATGTAACACAAAAGTGGGAGAAGAGGAATGCATACAAGATATTGGTGGGAAAGCCAGAAGGTAAGAGACTAGGAAGACCAAGACGTAGGTGGATGGAAAATATTAAAATGGATCTTATAGAGATAGGATGGGGTGGTATGGGCTGGATTGATGTGGCTCAGGATAGGGACCAGTGGAGAGCTCTTGTGAACATAGTAATGAATCTTTGGGTTCCATAAAACATTGGGAAATTCTTGAATAGCTGCAGATTTGGTGGCTTCACATGAAGGTCAGAGCTCCATGGAGTTATTTGTTACATGTGGGACCTTTTTGTTATATGTACATTGAATTTTTGTCAATTGACCTAATCCTTCCGGCCGCACTATGGCCCTGGGGTCGACTCAGCCTCTGACAGAAATGAGTACCAGGAATTTTTCCTGGGGAGTAAAGCGCGGCTGGCGCGTAAGGCTGACAACTTTACCACCATCTTTGAGCCGATTGTCTAGATAATGTGGGACCCTCAATATCTCACAACCTTATGGGCCTTCACGGCCTGTTGTAGGGATAGCTTTTCTTTACTTACATGTGTGTAATAGGTATGATGAACATACTGCATTTGGAATTGTATGCTGGTATTACAGTCACTGACTGCTGACATAATTCCAGTTTGACTTTGAAGTCAGAGTAAGTTGAAATTGAAGAAATGCTGTCCTTATACTCCAAAGTTAAGAACATTGCAAGTACTGAAATTTAAATTGCATAAGATTTAAGTGTAATTCATTTTACAACTGTGATATTTTGGTAGATAAGGTGAAAGTTGCAAATGCTATTGTGTGGATAGAAGACAGATTTGCTGTATGTATTGTTGTTTTCAATGTCACCATGACAAAGTGTGGAAGTTATGAGATTGAGGAATTTTTCTCACAGATGTGAACTGTAATTACTCACTGAAAGAAATAGGCTTGTTATGGAAGATCACAAGAAGCTTTGGACTTGGATGGAATCTTTGGATAAACGATATAAGCAAAAGGAAATGGATATGAGATTTGGAACTTGGAATGAATATGCCATTAGTAAGGTCAAGGAAAACTAGGTGGGAGTGAAATTAAATGGGACACATCAGTTTCTGGTCTATGCTGATTATGTGAATCTGCTAGGTGGTAATATAGATATGTTCAAGAAACACACACAGACTTTAATTGATGCAAGTAAGGAGGTTGGTCTAGAAGTAAACATGGAGAAAAGTATGTATATGTTGCTGTCTCATCACTGGAATGCAGGGCAAAATCATGACGTAAAGATAGCCAACAGATGTTTTAAAAATGTATCACAGTTCAGATATTTTGGAACAACTATAACAAATCAAAACCTGATTCAGGAGGAAATTAAGAGGAGATTTAGTTCAGGTAATGTGTAAAAATGTAAAGATCAGAATATACAAAAGTATAATTTTGTCTGCGTTTCAGTATGGTTGTGAAACTGTCTCTGATATTAAGGGAGGAACATAGACAGGGTGTTGAGGAGAATATTTGGAACGAAGAGAGATGAAGTGATGAGAGGTTGGAGAAAACTACACAATGAGGAGCTTCATAACTTGTACACTTTGCCAAGCATAATTAGAATGACCAAGTCAAGAAGGATCAGATGGGCAGGGCATGGGGCATGAATGGGGGAGAAGAGGAATTCATGTAGGAAATTGGTGGGGGTTGACAGTATTAAAATGGATCTTAGAGAGATAGGATGGGATGGTATGGATTTGATTGATCTGGCTTAGGATAGGGACCAGTGGAGGGCTCTTGTGAAAGCGGTAATGAATGTGTGGGTTCCATAAAATGCTCGAAAGTTCTTGAGTGGCTAGACAATTGACAGCTTTTCAAGATGGGCCGAGCTCCGTGAGTGAGGGAGTGATGTGAACTGTCATTGCCAATTTGAAAGAAACAGTATACCTGTTGATAAGCTCACTAACTTCACACTTTGAACATGCAGTAACTCACATGCCTTGCAGATTGTTGAAGAAACATCAAACTTCTTAAAAATATCTGGCTCACAGTAGGTTTGTAATCTGTTTTATAAATGTAATTACAGCCATTCATTTCAGAAAGTGGGTTGTTCATCAACGGTGTCACCATTTGTCTAAGAGTGGGTTACCATGTAACACTAAAAGTTAGTAGCCATTTGAAGCAGCTAGTAAATAATAATTAGGTGAAAGTGCAGAGGTCATCATGCCTTGATTAGGGTGTGAATGAGCATTGAGGAGAGGCTGACAATGAAATATGACATCATTTGATTACTTCACATATTTGAACTTGAATTCATAGCAGTTTGTCAGAGTGTCTTTAGGCAGAGGTGAGAGATTGGCAAAAGTGTTTTATTCAAGCACATCAGGATTGCTGTGGCAAATGGATGCAGTGGGCACCATTTACTAACTGGTTTTGTTAGGTCAAGGGTAACTAAAGATATCAACTGGTAAGCAGTTTGCAGTCATATGTTCTGATTTTTATCAGACTGCAAGTGCAGGGAGAATATTTAGCAGAAGATTGTATCAATGTGTAGGTGATTTGTTGTTGTTGTAGGCTAGTTTAAACAAATGTAGCCTTGAAGAAAGTCGTCTTCTGGGATCTGGCGCCGTGTATTTTTGGTTTTAACCGACGTTTTGGAGGAACGTATCGCCTCCATCTTCAGGGCAGGTGAATCGCCATGCGAATACAGATAGCAGTAGCCGAAGATGGAGGTGGTACATTCCTCCGAAACGTCGGTTAAAACCAAGAATACACGCTGCCAGATCCCAGAAGACGACTTTCTTCATAGTCATCGCCGTGAAAACCTCAAAACTTACAGATGTAGCCTTATTTACTTTTCTCTGTAGAAAAGGGCATTGCATGCGCTGAAGTGTTCATTTCATTTTAATGGTATGGATAAGTCTTCTAAATCCATTAGGTGTCATTTCAGGTGTATGCATGTAATATTCTAGTGCTAGTGGTTCCTGTGAATACAGGTTGGAAACATCTGTGAAGAAACATAAATTTTTGTGAATTTAATGGAGCAGATACAATGAAATATTATAGCTTGTTTATTTATTTTATAAATGCTTTATAGTACACAGAAAGAGCTCCATAATCACAAATAGCATGTTGAGATTAAAATTAAACACAGAAAGTTACAGGGAGTTTCTTAACTTTGTTGACCGCTTCACAGGTCTGCATTTCATGGCAACAGGTGCACTGCCAGTCTAAAGCCCATACCAATTTTCCCGATGAATCAGTATGTCTGTTGGCTGATAACATTCGGAATGAAGTAGTTACAATTTCGTTTACGTTTATTTCGTTTTTGATTACAAGAGATTTTGAAAAT